GGCGTGGGCAACATGTCCGCGCAGAAGTCATCATCATCATATCATATCATCATCGACACGCACACAGCGCCAATCCACGGCCACCACGGCGCAATCACGCCGCCCACAGCACGCGAGGGACACAGCAGCACATTGCCTGCAAGCAGCAGAGGCGGTGTGCCTGCAGGCAGCGAAACTTCCGCCACCAACACCACGGCCACACCACCGCCATCGCAGCCGATTGAGCGGGAAATGGCAGACATGCATGCGGTACACTTGTTGGCGTCGTCGTCATCACCCCCACCATCATCGATGAAGGTTCCTGCTGCGCTGTTGGCAGAAACCAACGTGGATGCTATCAATGATGATGATGACGATGATGACGATGATGACGATGATGACGACGATGCTGGTGCTGGTGTTGTGAGAAGTCGTCAGCGTCATTGTGGTGCACTTCACGATGTCACACCAACACCAGCAAGTGTTGGTCGTGCTGGCGTCAACGGCGAACGGAGCGGCACCAGTTCACGTCACCCTGTTGGTGGAAGCCGTCATCGTTGCAGCACGGTTGTTGGCAGCGTGCAGCGGACGCGGAGTGGCGGTGGCGTTCCTGTTGTGGTCATGCACACGCCTGCGGCCGTCACCCCGCCTGCCTCTGTTGATGTGGAGCACATGGCTGCGCTTCAGCGTGCCTGGCAAGCCCAAATTTCCTCCTCCTCGTCATCAGAATCCTAACACGCATTGCGTTGTGTAAATGTGTGTGTGTTTGTGTGTAAATGTGTGTGTGTAAATGTGTGTGTGTATGTGCGTGTGTGTGTGTGTGATGTGAATGGTGTGTGCGTGTGTGCTGTGTGTGCTGTGTGCTGTGTGTGCTCATGGAAGAGAAGCAGCATCATGTGCTTCACAACAGCACAACCCTCCACACATTCACGACAAACAAGCAAGCAAGGATCCCTTCCTTCCACCTTCCCCACTACACTTCATGCTGCCGTTTTGCTTTGTAATGGACCGACCGTTTCTAATTTTTCTCTTCTGTTCGCACTTTAAGTAAAACATCGATATGCCCGCGTGCCTGCATGCACGAAACCGTTCGCTACCATGTGCGTGTCAACTTGCTCACGATTCACAACTTAAACGCCAGCTAGGCACGTATCGTCGCGTATTCCAAATCACGGTCACAGCTTTGTCCTGGTTTGAGCCTACATCACTTCCATTCGAGCGAAACATCGCCCCGTATGGCTGCGTATTGAAATCCGTTGGCGTTCACTTCCTCCACTTTGAGACGCGGTTGAGCGGACACATGCCCACCTTCCCTCTGGCGCATGCGCGTTCGTTGCAAGTGCTTTGCGACGTGTCGTGTGCGTCATGCATGTTGTGTGCGTCGTGCTGGGCGACCTTGCTTCTTGCTTGCTTGTGAGTGGGCGTCTTCCTTTGCAGTTCTTTCTTCGCGGCGGCGTGTTGGTTGTTGGATTGCTGGCTTGATGTTTGTGTGCATTTGCTTGTGCGGTTGCTTGCTTCGCGCTTTGTTCACGAGTTGGTTGGTGCGATAGCTGAGTTTCCACGTACCCGCTCCCTTGCTCGCCTCCACACAGTTGTGCTCGCCTTCCTTCTTTCGACTTCCAACTTGCTCGTGCGCGCGAGCTGGTCTTGCCCACATTGATGTACACAACGTGGTCGGGCGCAGCCAAGGTCTATCATCTCACTCAGCGAGCAACAAGCTCTCGCTCTGTGTGCGCATGTGTGCGCGTGCGTGTGTGACACGTCCCCTCTTTGTCTTTTGTTCCCTTCTTCCCATCGACCCCTCATCTGTCCTTCCCATCCTTCCTTGCATCCGCGCATCCATCCTTCCTTCCTTCGCCTGTTGTTTGTGTTTGTGTGTGACAGACAGCGCCGCCCCCTGTCGCACTTTTGTTTGTCTTGCGACTGTGTGTGCGATTGCGACGCAACGCCGCCACCGCCCCTCCCCCACTCAACAATTGTCGATCAAACAAGAGCAAACCCGACACAGCAAGAAGACAGCAGACGCAAGCGCTCGTGTGTGCATGCGTGCGCGTCTTTCTCTTCGCTCTTCCCTCCCGCCTTCGTCCTTGCGTTTGCTTCTGACAACTGGTCTTCTGACGGCTGGTCGTCTCTCAATCTTGTGAGAGAGGTGTGGTCACATTTCTCCGCTGCCACAATCACACAAGCACACCCACACGTCGTCCAAACGCCTGTGTGAGCTTGCCTCCGAAGGTTTGTTCTTTGTGACTATGTCTGTCTGCGTGTGTGTGTGTGTGTGTGCGTGCGTGTGTGTGTGTGTGTATGTGCGCATGTGTGTGCGTGCGTGTGTGCGTGCGTGTGTGTGTGCGTGTGTGTCTGTGTGCGTGTGCGTCTCCCACCTCCTTGTGTGCATCTTGGTTGCGCCTGTCCGTCACATCCACGCCCCTTCAGAATCGACAGTGTCATCGCCCCACCACCCACATAGTCCAACCCCCCCCCACACACAACACTCGTGTCTTGCGCACATCATGAAGATGAAGGCTTCCATGCTTGCTTTCCATGCTTGCTTTCCATGTTCCATTTTTTCCTATCCTTCTCACCCAACTGTTGCTCACCACCATCACCACCACCACCACCACCACCACCACCACCACCACCACAGCGCCGTTGTTGCTGGAGAGGACAGCCGCGCAAAAGCAACACCACCAACACCAGCACCAGCACCAACAACAGCAATACCAGCAACATCACCAACAACCAGCAGCCATCAACCAACAGTCACCATCATCCATCCACCTACCTTCCGTTGCTTGCTTTCCAGCCACGTAGGTACTCCCTATTCGTGCCTCCATCCGCATGAAACGAACGGTCGTGCCATTCGTTTTGACTCAGCTCGCACACCATACGTTCCACACAACAACCACCACCACAACCACAAGCGCCAAGTCCAATGATTGCAGGGCGTGTCCAAAACCAATGTTGTCCCTGTTTGCAAAACCCACAAATTCAAAATCAACCTATCTGCCTACAGACACAAACACGTGATGCGTTGTTGTGATGATTCCCCAACCAACGCAAACACAGGGCGTCACATGCAGTGTTGTTGTTGTGTTGTGTTGTTGTGTGACTCACGGACAATCACCTTGCCTTCTCCTTTCCCTCTTTTTTTTCTCGCGCCTTCAATTCTTCAACTTACATCGTCTGTTGTTCAGTGTCCCTTCATACCACCACCCATCACCGCCAACCCTCTTGTATCTCCTTGGATACAAAGATCATACCACACAGAGCTCACCACACAAGCGCGCATTCATTGCTACGTCGTAACCTTTGCTGCCAAGAAAGGTGTGTGTTCCCATTGTCCGGTTGTCCGATTGTCCTGCTATTTTAGCATGCGCTGTGTGTGTGTGTGTGTGTGTGTGTGTGCGTACGCTGTTTCGTCTGCATTTGCGTGCCTTGACTGTGGATGTGTAGTTCGCGCATGATATCCGTTCATTGGTTGCATTCTGTCTGTGGCTTGGTTGAGTCACATCAATACAACAACACCAACAACATCCGCAGACTCGTCGCAGTTTCTGCCACCACCACCACCACCACCACCACCACCACCACCACACCCATTTCTCGACCTCACACGGTTGTGCCCCGACCTGCCATGCATTTGTTCAGCAGCGTCTTCCCGGAGAGAAAACACGGCCACCAAGCAACAGCAAAGGCCCGAAGCAACAACGGCCGCAGACGCCAATTAGCCACAGGAACATCAAACGCCACCGCAGCAAGCAGCAAGGTGCTTGCTTGCAAGCAATCAAAAGGAACAGACAAACCCCCTGATCCGTTGAGAAGCCATGGCTGACGGCAACAACAGCAATGGGCGTGGCCCCCGTCGCCATCGCTACCACCAGCACGCACCAATGGACGGCGCAGCGCAACAAAGAGCACGCCGACGCCACGCGGATGACCACGGTGGTGGTCGAAGGCAGCTCTTCTTCCCCGACTTCCACGCCCCACAACAGCAACAACAGCAGCAGCAGCAGCAGCAACAACAGCAGCAGCACGAAGCGGTGGGGCAAGTTCCACAGCACCAAATGCACCACATGCACCAGCAACAGCAGCAGCAGCAGCAACAGCGTGAACAGCTTCACCAGTACCTGCAACATCAACAACACCCACAACAACAGGCACAACAACAGGCACAACCGCAGCCGCAACAGGCGCACCACCAGGATGCCCGCCATCGCATTGGTAGCGGGTATGATCTGCGCAACACTAACGGGGTTCATCCACACGAGCGCGTGTACGGGGTGTCCAGCAGTAGCGGCTCGAGTGTTTTTGGGGACGCCCCTCGCCCACAACAAGCCAACGGCGTCCACTTCAATGCCGTTTTGCGGCAACACCAACAGCAACACCAGCCACAACAGCCACCGCTGCAACAGCCACAACAACAACACCAGCCACAACAGCAACAGCAACAACGCCAGCCGCAACAACGCCATCACCAACCACCACAACCCCAACACCAGCCACAACAATTCCGTGCTGGTGGTGGACAGTTTGCCGGCGATGCCCACCGCCTCATGCAGATGCTGCTGCACATGGCAGACCCAGACGCCCGCCGTATCATTGCGCAGTCGTTTGTGCACTTTGCTCAATCGAGGAGTGGTCAGCACGGTCAGGGCGCACGTGCTCCGCCACCACAACACCAAATGCATGGGCAGCAGCCCCAGCAACAGCAACAACAGCAGCAACAGCAGCAACAGCACATTCACCACGCATTTGCACCAGCTCACCACCGCCGTCCTCAGCAGCCACAACAGCCGCAGGCGGGTCGCGAGCCATTGTTGCTTGATGAGGTGCTGCATCAGCTTCCAGCAGGGCAGTTGCAACAAGGTGTGGCAGGCCAAGGGGCACAGCCACGCCCACCCTTTGGCGTGCCTGCAGGCAATGGTCCTCCTCAGCAGCATGGCCAGCCACCACAACCACAGCACAATGACGGTGGACCAAACCTGTATGCGCAACTGCTCAACCATCTTGTTCCCGGCCAACAGCGGCATCAGCAACACCAACACCAACCCCAACCCCAACGTCCACCCCATCTGCAACAGCAACAACAGCCACCACCCCCACCGCCCCCGCAACCACCACAACAGCATCAACAACCACCATCAATGCCGGCATCGCCAGCGGCCAGTGATCGCAGCGTCCCGACCTGCCCCGTGTGCTTTGAGGAAGGACGACGCGACGCCAAGCAACAGTGCGTTTGTTGATGCGAGCGCATGCGTGTGGGTATGTATGTGTGGCGTGCGTGGGAGTGTGTGTGTGCGATGACCTTGTTTGACCACCGCGTTTGCCTGCTCATTCGTTCTTTGTTTCGAATCCACAAATGCATTTGTTCCACAGTCTGTGCCAGAGGTGCTACAACAACATCTACCAACGCATTCGTCGCGGTGTCGAACGATTGGGCCGCAGGTTCACCTTTGAGCGCTTCCAGGAATGTACGTGTGAGCATATTTGTGAAGACATTTACCGTGCCTGCATTTGTAGCGCTCACCGCTGTTGCTGATGTTGGTGCTGTTGCTGCTGCTGGTGCTGCTGGTGTGCCGGATCTCAACCGCCTCGTTTTACTTGCTGTGCTTTCTGTTTGCGCTGACATTGCGCCTGTGATGGGAAGTGCAAAGAACGTACGAAGGTTGGAAGTGCAATGTGTGTGCGCTTACGCACGTGCACGTCTCACAAGACTGCACATTGTGCCAATCAACCTCAAGGATGACACTCACACTTGACACTCACACACGACACTCATATTTGCACGTGTACTGCAGATGTGGATGAAATGAAGTGCAACTCCGACAAACGTGAGAATGCGAATGTCTTGCTTGATGGCCCCTCCTTGCTTCCCAAATGCACGTTCAAAGAGAGGTGATGTGATTGCTTCATCACCACCGCATGATTTCTTCACTCTGACCATCGTGCTCCCGACCACACACACACACACACTCTCTCTCTCTCTCACGCACACATACATACACACCACGCGCGCACACACACACACATACACACACACGCACACACACACATCCACGCACACATACACACACATACATACACACATACATGCACACACGCATCTAGTTGGGCACAAGTGCTTCCACTGCCTTGCGCTCAAAGCGACTGAAGTGGCAGAGGAGGCAGTGCGGCGAAGTATGTTCACGTGCAATGCCTCTGTATCGTGTGCAGTGTGTATGACCATGGCTGCACGGCAATGGCTGCATCTGTTGACATATCTGTTCATACATACGAGTGGTACCCCGCTCTTGCACTGCTGCCATCATCACATCACACCTGTCGCTTTCGCCGTTCGCTCACACCATTCACATCCACGGCTGCTCAACTCTGCCTGCCCTTGCACTGCATGTTCAACCACCACTTACAACGACCACTCCACCACCACCACCAACAACAACAACAACAACACCAACAACACCCCCAACAACACCCACAACACGACCACGCCAACCAACAACATTGCCCATGCAGCCATCTCCACGGTGGTTAATCGCAAGTTCGCCAACGACAGGCGCTACGACTATGATGATGGTGACGATGAGGAGCAGCACGGCGGTGGGCGTGGCGGCGGGCACGACAGGCGCTTCCGGCGCCTCCACCGCGACGATGACGATGATGACAGTGGTCATGATGAGGATGATGATGTTGGCGGTGATGATGGTGGTGGTGGCTATGATGATCGTGAGCGGCAGCCGCTTCATCCGGGCCGCCGTCACCACCAACACCACCGCCGCCGCCGCGAAACCCATCAAGGGCACCACGCTCACCACGACCGGCAGCAACGTCGTCTGCAGCCACGCCCCCTTCACGAGCAGGACGTGCCTGCAGGCAACGTGGCCCACCGCGGTGCTCATCACCACCAAGCAGACGCCATGGCTGATGGACACCTCCAGCCAGGTCCCGCTGCTGCGAATGCGAATGCGAATGCCAATGCCAATGGGCACGTGCACCTGCCAGTTCTGCATGACGACATGATGCTCCAAGACATGCTGAGCCCGGCGTTTCCCGAGCTGCTCATGGGAGGGGCACTGCCACCGCCGCCACTGCAGCAGCAGCAGCAACAACAACAACAACAGCAACAACAACAACAACAACAACAACAACAACAACAACAACAACAACAACAACAACAACAACAACAACAACAACAACAACAACAACAACAACAACAACAACAACAACAACAACAACAACAACACTCAGAGCATGAGGGCGAAGAGCCTCTGGTGCAGCTGCCGCCATCCACCCATTCACCCATGGAGGGTCGTGCTGATCTCACCGGCAACGCATTGTCAGGCCATGTTCACCCGACCAACCGCAACCGCGCCTCCAGCAGTAGTCAACATGCTGCGTTGTCTCCTTCGCACGCACACATGCACTCACAGCCACCGGTCACGCTTGATGCGGGTCACATGCACGCGACCTCCACCACAGCAGCCACCACCACCACCACCACGGACAGCAATATTGGCAGCAGCGCGGCGCAAACGAGTCGCGTGCCGACAGCATCACAACAACAACAGCAGCAGCACCAACAGCAACATCAACAACAGGGGCAACAGCAGCAGCTGCCGTCGTCATCATCATCGACAACAGCAGCAGCAGCAGCAGCGGTTTGCACCACTGCCCATGCTGACCCCTTGGCAGCATTGGTACCACCACAACCACTACCGGCAACCTTGGTGACGGAGGACAGCGGGATCGGTCAAATGATTGCGTTGCGTGGACGAGGGTTGCTTGCACCAGCAACCACGAAACCAGCTGCTGTGGCGCTGGGGTCACCATCGATTGGCTCTGAGCAAAACAACCAGTTCCACCAGCACCAGCAGCAGTACGACGGTGGCCACTTTGCACCGCACACGCACCATGAACATGATCTGTATCAGCACGAGCAACGGCACAATCGCAGTCGCCAGCGCAACCGAAGCACTGTCACGCGCCACGGCAGTGGTGACCTGTCCTTGGCAGATGCCTCTTCATCGTCATCCATGCACAACAGCCTCACATCGACACCTCGCGTCGGTGGACAGTGCTACCCGAAACGGCGCCACAGCTCACGCTTGTGCAGTGCTGGCAGTGCCACGACCCCCACCTCAACCCCGACAACACCAAACATACTGCAAGCAGCTCATCAGGTGGGAACGGCCACAGACATGCATGCAGGCACGGGCGCGATGAGCGATGCCGTTGCGACCAGCACCAGCAACAGTAACAGCAACAGCAACAGTAACAACGCCGGGTTCTTCACACACAGCCACGCATACCCCAATGCCAACGGCCACGGCGATCATGGCACAGGCAACAATGACAATTGCAACAGACATGGCGATGCCAACGGCCTTAGGAATCCGCGTGTTGAGGACGAAAACGCCAATGACACCATGCTTGACGACTTGATGCAACACTTTGCCGACGTGGACAAGGACGATCCCTCCACGGACGACTTCCCAGACTGGCCAGACTTTTCGTGATGGAGGACTTCAACAGCGCTGACAATGAGCGACCAAAAGTACAGCACTCGAAGTCATGTCTGGAACATCATCAGATGTGTGTTGTTTTCTTCATTTCAATGACGATCACGTTGGTGGTTTGGATTTGTTTGCTTCAGACCACATGCTTCGTACGTGGTGCCCATATCATCTCGTCATTTCGTTGTTGGCTGCGCTGTGCGTGTGCCCTGTCCAGCCATATTATCGTTTTTGCAACGAGCACAGTGCATGTACGTACAGTGTTGTGAACCTAGAGCCGCCTTTCACATGCTTGCATAACGAAGGCGTGGAGGGTGAGGTAGGTGTGTCTGTCTGTGTCTGTCTCTCTTGCTGTCTTATTCACCGTTTGGGGTTGACTCCTCAAGCGTGCGTTGGCCGAAGGTTGTTTATCGCCACGTTGTAGCTTCTAGATAGCTGCTTTCCCCTTGCTACATGCGTCTCCTCGTCATTCCTCACTTGCCCATATTTGGAGGGCACAAGTCATTGTGGCCCATGCTTATTAACAAGTGTGCATGTTTTCTTTTGCTTCTGCTTGTTCCTCGACATGCGTTGCATGCACGCGCTGGGTTTGCTTCGCACATGCACCGTCGCGGCTTTGGTGCCCATTGTTTTGCCATGTTCTGATTTCATCGAGCTTGTTTCCGTGTCTCACGAGCGTACGCGCAAGTGGGCACTTTATTTAGCCGTTGTTGTGTACATGGGCTTGTTTTCCTCGTTTAATGGTTGTCTGCCTCAAGGCCTCCAGCCACTTGCGTTCGCGCGTGGTGCACGTGTTGTTTGCTGTGACATGTCATTGTTTCATCCTCGTTATTCCTATCCGCTCATCTCGCGTGTACATGCTGTCATTTTTTTCTTATTCGCATCTTCTTCCACATTGCTTGCCTCGGCTGCCTCAACATGTGTTATTGTGCGCGTACTCAACCCACACTGCTGTCTGATCCTATTCATGGCGCCATTTCTGTTTTGTGCTCTTGCTTCTTATTTTGTTCGTCCACGCATCAAGCAGCATAATTGCTTGCATGCATGCATGCGTTGTCTTATTGTGACTGTTCTCCCCACTACCTCCTGCCGCAAACAGATGGATGGTTGTTGGAGGACGCACACCGTTTTGCACAGTAAACACATGACATGACCCATTTACTGTACGTGTGTGTGTGTGGGTGTGTGGGTGTGTATGTGTGTGTGTGGGTGTGTATGTGTGTGTATGTGTATGTGTGTGTGTGTGTGTGTGTGTGTGTCTGTCTGTGTTTCGAGGGGACTGAGAAAGGAGTGTATGACTTGAAAGAAATGCTTCACATAGAACGCATTTGCACAAACATGACAACCTTTGAACCACTAAGCATCAATTCCGACTTGAGTGTTTGAGACATGAAACACGTGGGGAACAGCAGCCCTAACAACAGAGACAGACACACACACACACACACAGACACAGAAGGCGAATGCATGGCGGTTCACGATGCGTGGGAGACAGCCTTGCGCTCCATTGCTTTCCGTCGTTGCCTGCAGGCACACAAATTGCGTGATGGACACACAAATAGGGTTGAGATTAGCGAAGACAACACACTGGGGTGAAGGCAAGCACCGCAATGAAAACGCAGGAAGGGAGGTGAATGCATGCAGTCAAACATGACAGTGCAGGTTTGATAGTTGGGGGGGGGGGGGATTCGCGATGCTTGCAAGCAATTTGTGTTTGCGTACACTTCAAGGAAGGATTGGCCGCGCGGTGCTGCGTTGTTCCGCTCCCGCTCCCGCACACTCAACTTTTGCTGCTCAACGGACAGCGAAATCCTGCATGTGTTGTTGTTGTTGTTGTTGTTGTTGTTGTTGTTGTTGTTGGTGTTATGCGTGGCAATGTGTGCTCGATGCATGCCCCTGCATGTACGCACAGAGCAATTGTCATGACCCGCGCCAACATGAGCAAAAGTGTCATTGCAGTCTCACCATGCTGACGTCATCAGCCGCTGTTCGCGTTCAAATCGCGCGCGCTGTCGATCGAGCTCGCTCGTCTGAATGAAGGAGGGGGGGGGGTATGTATGCGTGGGTGTGTGGATGTGTGTGTGTGCGTGTGCGTGTGTGTGTGTGTGTGTGTGTGTGTGGGCTCGTCCTCGCCATGTCCGGGAAAACACAGTCGCTCGACTTGATGTGTAAGGCGGCAGGACGCTTAACCCAAACTGACCAGTGTGCAGTGGAATTTTAAACCACGTTGCCGTGTGTGCGTGGGTGTGAGTGTGAGTGTGCGTGTGCGTGAACGAAGGCTGTCAGCCGCAAGTTTGTTGCCGGCGAGTACACACACACACACACACACACACACACACACACACACCCGCATTCACACATCCCTGTCGTTGACCACGGTAAACGGAGCAAGCAGCTGCACCTTTGTGGCGATTTCTGCCTCAAGATCTTGAATCTTCTGCTGAAGCATTTGGATGTATTTTCCACCCTCCTAAGTGGTGGCAAGTGCCAAAGGATAGCACGTCCATGGGAGTTGATGTGCATATGCACGAGTGTGAGTGTGTGTGTGTGTGTGCGCATGCACAAGGTACACGCACAGCAAGCAAGAGGGTTTGTGTGATGCCATCCATACACGCAATGACACAGCAGCTACTCACCCCACTGCCATCGCCAGAGGTTGCAGCTGCAGCCGCAATCTTCTCATTCTCCAGCCGCTTGTAGTCCACACGCGCCTGGCGCAGTTGCTCTGCACACACGCGCACACACACACACAACAAACATACGTTGAGACACACACACACACACAGTAGCTGCGAGGCATTGCGTGACAACAGCGCTGAAGAGCAACGACAGCAGCGCACCTTTGACACGTTGCAGCTCGTCACTGCTGCCACCGCCACCGGCACCACTCTCCTTCAGTGCCAGGATCCTGATCAGCAACCAATGCACGATCAGTGGTGCGTTGGTTGTGAGGTGGTGATAATGAAGTGGAGTTGAGTGAAGATGGAGAAGCAACACACACACACACACACAGCGCATGCAAGCACACACACACACACACAGCGCATGCAAGCACACACACACACACATACACACACTCACACACACACCAACACCCAGCGCATGCAAGCACACACACACACACACATACACACACTCAGAGCACAGCGCACAGGGCAACTTACTTGCTGTTGAGCTCATCCTTCTGTGTGAGGATGGTTGTGATCTTCTTCATCTGGTCTGCGTTCTCACGCGCAAGCTGATTCTTCTCCTCCATCAGGGCAGCGTGCCTGCAGGCAAAAAAACAAAAAACAAAGTGAGGCAAGATGTGGTGATAGAGAGTGTGTTATTTGGTCAGCGCGTGCGTGAGTCCACGCACGCGTGTCGAGCGAGTCATAATGACTGTTGTGTCAGGGCTGACAGTGATGGTAGAATATTGAATGCAAAGACAGCACACATGGCACACGAAGTACACAAAGCGAAGCTCCTTCATGGTACTCAATGCCTGCAAGCAACACCGGCTCACCTCTCTTTGAGTTGTGCCAGCTCGTTGGACACCTTCTCCAGCTGTTGTGAGCAGGACGCAGCGAGAACAGCGGGGTTGAGTTACAGGAAACACACGGCAAGCACACAGGGCCACACTGGCACTTGTCACACGGCAGGGTAACAGGCACAAGAGACAACACACACACTCACATACACTTTCTCTCTCTTTCACACACACACACACTCACTCACTCCAAGCAGTCAGTCACTCACTCACTCAACCAAGCAACCACCGTTGCCCTCCCCCTCTCTTTCTCTCTTTCTCATCCTCTTCACCGCGGACAGCGGACCGTGTTGAGTTTGTCCTGCACATCCTTCATCGCTGCATCTCGCGCCTTCTCAACAACCTCTTTCTGGTCAAGCCCGACCAGGCTACGGATGGTTTGTTTTGGTGTGTGTGTGTGGGGGGGGGGAGGGGGAAGCGAAGTGGTGGTGAGTGTGGGGTGTGAGTGAAGTGGTGGTGGTGAGGTCAGACGTTCGCATGCTAGT